AGGGGCCGGGCCTACGTTTTAGCCTTATTTGCATATTCGACTAAGGCGCGCCCTCTGGTTCCCGGCATGCGCCGCGAAAGAAGCCTGGTCAGAAAATAAAAAGGAAATTAAAAGCGTTAAAACGGAAGAACAGTGAAAAAAAGCCACCGAGAGGATCAGGATCCGCGTGGTTCGTTCACTAGTGACTGAGGCACCCCAGCGCGGACACGAGGCAAATCACCCTAATTAGGAAATATTTCACTTCCGGAGGCCCTCTGGTTCCCGGCATGCGCCGCGAAAGAAGCCTGGTCAGAAAATAAAAAGGAAATTAAAAGCGTTAAAACGGAAGAACAGTGAAAAAAAGCCACCGAGAGGATCAGGATCCGCGTGGTTCGTTCACTAGTGACTGAGGCACCCCAGCGCGGACACGAGGCAAATCACCCTAATTAGGAAATATTTCACTTCCGGAGGTTTAAATAGCTCCGGGGTTTCACTTAGATTCGTGCTCGCTTCGGCAGCACATATACTAAAATTGGAACGATACAGAGAAGATTAGCATGGCCCCTGCGCAAGGATGACACGCAAATTCGTGAAGCGTTCCATATTTTTGGGGCCTGGCTGGCTTCCGCCTGGTCCCCCCCCACCGCCCAGCTACTGAATCTACTGGGGCAGCTGCTCCCCAGGAACCTTTTACAGCCCAAAGCTCAGCGCAGGGCACCACAGCTCAGAACAGGGCAATTATCCACCCTGTGCCAATCTCCCAGCCTCTGAAAGGACACCTGGAGCATTGGGCTATGTCCCAGGCAACCTTCCTACTAATTTTTTTCCATCCACGTGCGGAATAATTTGATGTGCACTGGGGCATGTGCGATGTGCACCACCAATAGAACCACATCACCTGGCTGTTTGTCACTCTGCTAATCAGCAGGGCAGCATTGGAATTTCTCTTGAGCAGCTGCTCAAGGAACACTGGGCCCAGGCCATCGTGGCTAATAGCTAGTGACGGACCGGGCATGTCGAATTCTTCTTTGAACCCAGTTATACGTTGACCCTCCACAACAGCCCCTGGCAGGGAGGGTTGTGTGTCTGGGTTGTCTGATGGGCCATGGAGGCGGGGGATGGCTTGACTGCGAATGTGTTTTCAAGCTGCTCTGTAACTAGCGGGAAGCAAGTAACACTTTACCCAGTAGGTCTTCTGTGTTTGGTTCAAAAACTCTCCTTGGGTCCTAGCCGGCAGGCGGCTCTGTGCAGCCTAGAACTGCAAGGGCAGGTAGTAAGAGAAGTGCAGGTTTTTCCCAAGCGCTGTCTGGACAGAGGGGTAAAGAGCTGGAGTAACCCATAGGAGGAAATTCCCAAGTGCATCTTGGGGGGGCGCAAGGGGTGTTTGCCTTGGCTGGTGGCAGCCACACCAAGGCCAGGGAATCTGTGACCATGGGGAGTTTTCTAAACAGATTCCTTTAGTGGCCTGGTATTTTAGAGTCGCTTGCCGGCCCCACCCTCTGGGGCGCAGCCTTGAGACGGGGAGAGGCCAGAGACTCCGTCACAGCCAGGCCGCTCCTAGGCCACGCCCTGGGCTAGGGCTCCAGGCTGAGTTGGAGCCTGGGCTCACAACCCCGCACACCCCCCAGACAGCCCCGCGGGGCAGCAGCAAGCCACCAGGCCCCTTCGGCCACAGCTGGGCCCTGCCGCCTGCACGTTGCCGGGGCCGAGCAAGGCGCGGGCGAGCGGCACCTGCCTGGCTAATTTCTAAGGGGCCGGGCAGGTGGGAGGCCCTGCACGGATGAATTCACACAAGGCCCCTGCTGCGTGGGCGGGGTGACTCCGTGGGGCACCAGGGTTGCAAGAGGAGAGAGGGACCCCTGGAGCCTCCCCATGAGCCTGCGGTGAGGCCAGCCTGCCGGGGAATTCTGGCCCCCCTGCCTGGCTGGTAGGAAGGACGCTGGCGCCAGGGCTCTCTGTTGATCCGGGCTGTTTGTGTTGCTACTGGTGCAGTGGCCTTTCTGCCACCATGTGGTGTGTGTGTGTGGGGCACCAGGGTTGCAAGAGGAGAGAGGGACCCCTGGAGCCTCCCCATGAGCCTGCGGTGAGGCCAGCCTGCCGGGGAATTCTGGCCCCCCTGCCTGGCTGGTAGGAAGGACGCTGGCGCCAGGGCTCTCTGTTGATCCGGGCTGTTTGTGTTGCTACTGGTGCAGTGGCCTTTCTGCCACCATGTGGTGTGTGTGTGCGTGTCGCCGGCAGGCGGGAGGCCTGAGCCGCCCGAGAAGGGCTGGCGGGGAGCCCCAGTGGGGGCGTTCCCGAGGGATCCCATCCCCAAGGCAGCACCGGAGGCCCGGGCTGCACGGTCACACGCTGCACCAGGCCTTGGCAATTCGCCAGCGCACCTGGAGAGCCGGCTTGGTGTTCCGGCACCTCACGAGCCCCTCTGCCTGCGAGCCCATGGGCCACAAGCCCCATGCTGGCAGCAAGGGAAAAACTGGCTGCAGCCACATCTCTGGCCAACCTTACAGAGGAGGCTCTGAGACCAGGCTTCCCTCTCATTTTTTCCATCCATGGGGGAATAAATTTTGTTCCGTGCACCGAGGCATGTGCGGATGTGCACCACCAGTTGAAACAGGCTGCCAGCTGCAG